TCTTCCGATCTCCCCAAAACCCCAAAACCCCTAAAGAATGAGTTTACAACATAAATCAAGGCTTACACAATAAAATCAAGATATAAATAAATAATAAAAATATGGCTATGAATCTGGCACCCTGCAGAAAAGCTGCAAACAGTTGCTTTGAACTCAAGCTACGATGCCCTTACAGTAAGAAGAGATTAAGGTATCAATAATGATCTCATAATTAGTTTCAGAATTTGTGGAACCCTTATTGTTTGATGATTTTCTTCCAGGGTAGGTTTTATTTTGAGTTTTCAATTATGTCAGCATCATCTATTTACTGTGGAAAAATACTGTTTAATTAATGGGGTTTCTGAAGAACTCCTCCTTCTTTTCTTTAGTGTACTAATAGCAAATGGATTACACAACAGTCATTCCAATTGCACTCTCTATTTTACTGGCAGTTTTTTTACCACTCCCATCACTTTTAGTTCGGTACATTGATTTTGCCTCCATAAGTTATTATCTAAAATCATCATAACTTTTCCCCAGTTTATTTCCTAGTAACCTTTGGAGAAATTTGAACATTTCATTTTTGCTAATATGAATCTTCTTAAATGCTCTGAAAATAGATCTCAATAACGATACTTCAAATTCTTTGGTATCATTATATACAATTCCTTTGCTAGGTCTTCCCTTTCTTTTTGTATTACATTCATCATTTGTTGTGGATTAGTTGAACTAATTATCAACTTGTGTATTAATAGGATATTCTTATTACTAAATATAATTACCGGGAAATTGACCAATTTCAATTTGATTAATATCGGTACGTAAAATATTAGAATCATCTAGATCTGAATGTATATCCCTTTAACTAGAATGGGTGCTTAAAAAATTTAGATCTAGAGTAGTTCTATTATTTTCTTCAGTTTAAGATGTAAATGTTTTGCTTAATGTAGAATCATCTGTATTTTGAGGTTGGAAGTCATTTTGCTATTAAAATTATAAGTCGGCAATGGTTCTTGAATTTTCGACCAAAAACTATTCATCCCTTTGAATTAAATTATCTGTTCTTAATTATTGTATGTCTAGACTTTATTTTGAGAAATACATTTATTGATAAATATCTTAGTCAAATGGAGTAGTATCTTCAAACTAAGGATTTTTCAAGTCAAAAATTAAGTTTTAATCATTTTTAGATTCAGTTTCAGCTTTTTAGGTTTATAAATATTCGTATTGTTCTTGGATGTAGTAATTTCCATTGAAGTTTTAGCAATAATTTAAGTTGGAATTCTCACAAGATTGAGAAAGAATGAAATCATCAGGATCAAATTAAGGATTTTCAAGTGTTTTGCCATTTTAATTGCAATTATTGTTCATTTTATTTGAGTCAGATTATATTTGATTTGTAAGTTAACCGATTTTCAATTATAACTCATCATTTTTTAAATTCATTTGATTATTTCTCATAGTTCTATAGGTTAGTATTTGTGTGCTTCAACAAGAAGTTATAAACTTTTTGTTTTAATAAATTACAAAGAAATCCTTTTATTAATTAATTCTACATTGTGAAATTAATTTGTTTTCCCTACAGAATTTGTTGTTTGCTCTTCAATATGGGGTTTTGGGGTTTTGGGGAGATCGGAAGAGCGTCGTG